ATGTCTAAATTCATTGTGTGATGACAGATAAAGACTGCGGCAGATGCATGCATACTATATGACATCAACAAAAAGCAAAAGGATTGATGTGCAATAGCTAATTGGAGAGCTACGTGTTGCAGTTATCGTTTACCAAATGGTGTATTTTGTTCTCTTCCTGAAGCACTTTAATTCCATATTGGTTGCTATGTGGACCTGCAATTTGGATAGAGTTGAACTTGTGGAACGGTTGAATATGTTTATCTTTGAATCTTCAATTATATGGTTGCGTGTGTTTGAATATTTGTGAAGTACATTTGTACAGCGTCCCTTGGAAATTGACCTGTATTTTTAACAATTCTTGTGTTATATGTGAATTGTTTTATCTTGCTGTTTGTTCCATCTTTAGTGTTGCTCCCGTGAAATATCATTTGACTAAGATGTCCCAACATTTTGAAGGTAGGCGTGGCAATAGCAACGCTATCGTCTACCTTTTAGACCCGAATGGAAAGGGAGACTTTGAAAAAAAAATGTTGAAAAGCGTATTATGCATTTGTCGTACAGGGTAATGCAACTAAGCTCTAAAAGGTTGCAGATATGGCGAGAGCTTCTCGAGCCCCTTATTACCTAAGATTTGGCCTGAAAATTTACTCCAATCACTATTTATTTGGACCTTTGAGCATCTTTTATGACATGGATTTATCATTGGTTCAAGTGAATCTTCTACATTTCATTCTTGTTCACATCCTCTTGTAACATGATGCTACAGTTTAAAAGGCATTTTTCATGTACAGTACCAAACGATACTAAACATGACAACATATGAAATTTTAACTTCCATTCTTTCCTCGACTTTAACCAATGTCGTCTAGTGTACTTGCCGAACATGCCAAAATGAGTATTTGGTTATTGTTGCATACATGTAGAATCTTTTGGGGTTCGAGTTTGGAGAACATAGGAGGGTGGGGGGATGGAGGCAGGCATGAATTACTCAGTTGCAAACAGTCCCTTAAGAAGTCAATAATTGACCATTTTTCAGACAGCTTAAAAGTAAAAATTTACGACAAAAAGATCTTGTCAAGATACAATGCTACGAAGATGATCTTTTGCTTCCCATTAATAGATTTATCCCTCTTACAATCGCTCTACAATTGATGAAATCTCCTACATAAATCAATACAGGCTGAACCCAAAAAATTGGCTAATCAAGAGTGCAAGACCTAAAGCAATGGCAACAAGGGACGATGCCCAGGTGAGCTTCTCGGTTATCCTGGGGATCCTGTCCTTGAGTGCCTGACTACACGAGCCTATAAATACGGTATAGCTTCCCATAGCGATAACCGTCCCAACCAAGAACATACATAGAAACGCAGCACCAGCCAATCGAGATGGCAAAGCTAGTGCAGGCAAGATCATCATCAGAGCATCGGGTTGTAATCCGTGAACAATTCCTGTAGCAAAAGTTGCAAACCCAATCTTCTTCTTCCCCATAGAGGGATTCTCGAGGGCTTCATATATGCCAACATCACATTCACCATTTTCTAGTGCCACACATGGTGCAGGGACTTCTGAAGCTTCCTTGATTCCCATTGCACCGATTACAAGGAGAGTAAAGCCCACAACTCGTGTACCCCAGGTTCGGATAACTTCAATGTGAAGCCGATCCTTCAAAAGTAGAAAGAGTAACCCGAATATTACCTGTCCAGCGTCATGGCCACATCCCCACAGAGCTCCAACTGCAGCACTTTCCATTTTCGTACGTCCTATTGAGAGCGGGGCCAAAGCAGCAAGGTGGTCGGGACCAGATAATGTGTGCAAGCATCCGGCAAAGAAGCCAGTCCATGCACTGCTCAGTAGTTCACTACGAATAAGTTGACTCCCTGCTGCTGCAGCAACGGGTCCTCTGGACTTGGCTACACTTTGAAAACTAGCTAAAGCTGGTGACACAACAACTGGGTGGACCAGTGCCAGAAAGATTGCTGAGACAAGTAGTACTGTTCCGGAAGTAACCACCTGAAACATATTTGACGATGATATGTCAAAATATAAGGCAAAAATCTTTACCATATGTCAATTTACAAGATTATAACATGAGAATAATGAGTGGTTTAGGTGTCAAATTAATCGGAAATAATAATACTTAAACAATCAAATGCTTGACTTGAGTTATCCATTTCTACGGGTACAAGTAGAGTACGGCTTACACGGTCATGTTTTGCATTGAGTAATAACTATATTTTCTCTTGATTTCCATGGGATTGGTTTATAGAGTTACAAGAAAATCATATAAAGTTAACCATAGAATACATTAGATGGAAAGAGTTGATTGAAAAAAGTGCTTAACTGGCACCTTCTTAAAGTTCAAAACTATCATCATAATAAGAAACTACACAAATTTGAAAAGATTTCCATCACTCCTTATCCTAAGATAATCAGGCAAAAATAGAGGCCGTTAGTACTGAAACCATCAGCTCCATTGATCGATTGTCAAAAAGAAGAGCGGGGCAAAAACCAGTAGCCAAGTTCAATACCTTGCGAGAAACTTTATATTCCAGCAACACAGTTCTCTTAAACATTTATCAGGCTCGAGCTTAAGCTTGAAAAAATGGAAAAAGGTTTGTTAACAAAGTCCGACTCTGGCCGAAGGTTAGTATAGAAACAAAAATTCTTTATGCCTAGGACAGAAGCTAATACTAGGAATCTTCCACGTACTGAATGGCGAGCAAGATAGAGCATTTGAAAACATAATGTTTTGACACAATATAGAAGTGCATACACAATTTTTCTGCACAAATATACTTGGGAGAATTGTGCTGTCAAAAGAATAAAGTAGTTCCACAATAAAAACTTCCTTTGTGCATCAAGAAAGCATATAGAATATCTGAAAAGACTCATCAAGAGGATAGTTTGACGAGTGGAATCTTCCTGTACAAACTGCAATTCTGACTTTATAAGGATCTTTCTTTCAGGATCATGAAATACGATTTTCTGCTTCATCTGACAAATTTCAAAAGCTTAATCCACTCCATTCAAAGGATTGCCTCTATACAAAAATCTAGATTANNTGCCTCTATACAAAAATCTAGATTATCTCAAATAAACCTCGAAGACCAGAATAGACTAGATGTGTTTGGCAGCACGACGTAGGGCACATAGAGAAACTTCTACTAGAATTTGAGTTGTTATATTTCTCAACACGCATTTATACGATGTCGGTGCTGGTAGCATACTCTCCTCTTGCAAATACATTCTAAGGCATAAAAAATCGAAGAATTACAATGGTGCTTCAGAGTTCAATTGATTCAGAAAATGCAATTAAATAGAAGCACTCCCGTACGATCATATCTTAAGCTAAACAATTACATAAGAATCAAATATATCCAACACAAACCAATATTTATTTATCCACCTCCCCAGATGTTGCAC